TTCTCCAATCGTCGATAGCCACAAAATAGAATATTAATGAATTGCCTAATTTCCCCCCCCCCCCCAATTATCCATAAGGTTCCTGCCAATTTTACCCAAATTATCCATAAACAAGCATGCATTTTGAGGAAAATTTGGGAAAATTGAACAATTTTACAAGGAATTTCGACATGCAGAAGCAGCAACTTTGCAAATCGCAAGTTTATACCACAGTCACAGAGTTTATATGTTTGGCTGCGCTGCTTTATATTTTGAGAAGAAAGCGACACCATTTGATTCAGCGTAAGAAATTGTGCTTACGGATGTCAAGTGTATTACTAAACACCAGTATTCTAGCGATTTATGGCCTTTGAAAATCAAGCGAAATTGTATTGTTAACAAATTGCTCGCAGTATGCAGCCTCGTCCCCGGCGCTTTGATGTTGCGTGACGCGCGCGCGGGAGGACACGCGTGGGGGGAAAGGAAAAATTCGGAGCGAAGCGCCTGGGAGAAAATGCTTTCAAGATGGCGGACAAAACAAGTGATTTGCATTTTTGTCTTGACAACGATAGTGAAGATGGTCAGTATAAACAGGTAAACATTTTAAAATTCAAATTACTATTTTAGTATTTCATGGAATTCTTGAAAAAATGTTGGGAATAAGTGGTAGACTTTATTTTTTAGGAAATAAGACACAAATATTTATGTGTGGTTGTAGATATAAAACCTTTTTGTATTTACTGTAACTTTATGCGATAATTTCATCCCTCAATCCCGAAATTAAATGGTTGCACAGTACACCAAGAGATGAAACTATGATGTGCTAGTATATTAAATTGGGAATTAAGGTTTTACATATTTAGTCAAGGGTTTTGTTATGCATGAGCTTGTGGTGAACTCGCTGAACTGGTGCAGGACAGAGCTCGGCAGCTGATCTGAGAAGTGAGAAGGCATGTTTTATATCTAGGATTGTAGTTTATGTCCTCTCTGATAGTTTGTTGCATGTATTTATTAAGTTATCAAAGGGGCAGTGTCACGGTTCTACTGCGCATCCAAAATATGCGCGAACTTGAAAAACTGTCTGCCAACAATTAATCAAGTTAGGAGTGAAATACGACATACTATTTATAATCCCTTCATTATGCAGGACATCCTTGCTTTGTTTTAAAAACTGAAGGCTGCTGCTGCATCTTTTCAATCATGTAGCATTAATTTTAAATGTTTCTTTGCGCCGTTTATTTTAGCCAATCAGCACCGTGACACTGCCCCTTTAAATTGTTTCTAGTTCTGCCATGTTTCTGTCCCTGAGGTTATTAAGGGCTGTTAATGCGGACAGCTAGCCCAGTAAGCGAGACCTCATCGTGTGGTTATTTTTATAGTGGAAATTCCTGTCAATTTGTATGGATAACCTGACTGGCTCTGAGAGATCTCACTTGAAGAAGGCAACATCTCACTTGAACAAGCAACATCTCAGTTATACTGCGGGAGGATATTTTGTGGCTATACAAGACACTAACCAGACTGACTTGGTCAAAATAAAGTCAAAACAACAAAATTGGTCATGACAATATTGTCAAAACAATAGAGACACAGAAATTTCCAACAATGAGTGCATGCTACTGACATTGTTATTGAAACTGAGTACCAAGCAACATGTTTGAAAATTAAAGATGCAAATTCTTGATTAATTTTGTATTATTTTAGATTAAATTAATAATTATTAAACCTAACTGTACAATCAAGTTACATGTAATAGAGTATTATTATAACTTTGTAGCTCCATAGGCTTTTCTTTTGCTGTTCCAGGTTTTGATCCACAAAGTTATAGAGAAAAGTCATTGTTAGTTCTGCCAATTAGGTCTGGCAAGTGCTAGTGTACCACTACACCACTACTCTTGCGATTTGAACATTCAAAAGAACTTGTATTAATCTCTTGTCCACATGACTTACATCACCCTGAATGAGAAATGTCCATTATGCTTATAAAATAGTGACAGTACGTATCATTAGAACACACTTTGAAGAAATATTGAGTCACATATCCCACAATCTGATTACAGGGAAATTTACTTTAGAGTAGAACCCAAACCCAACTGTTCAGGTAGACATTTATATGTTAACCCATTGAGTGCCAGCACTCTCCTGTTGACGAGTAAAATTGTTGGTGTTAGACACTTAGACAAATTAACATAATAAAGTAGAGTGCAATGCAACCTATTAAATGGGTTTCATTATGGTATGTCAGATAAATTGACTCGTGCAATTTTTCACATATGAGTTCTGGCATTTATAAGCCCTAGTTTGAAACCAACTTTAAAGCCTACAACAGGGATTATACATATGTTATATGTTGGGGGTTATATGTTTATGGTAATTGCTTGATTGCAATGGGTATTGATGGTTTGAATCTGATATCTTTGGCCTAGCAAAACCTTTTTTCACTTGTCTATCATGAATTGACAATTTAATAATACAACTACACAGTAATTATAAATATTAACTGCTACAAAGAACCTGGCAAAGATATCACTCAAAATTTGTCAGGGAAAATTTACTAATACTAAATAAATATAAGTGTACAGTATAAAGTACTCCGAAATCATACATAGCCTTAAAACCCTACGAACACGTTGATCAGAATGATTTTCATATAAATATTTGGTTCACATAATATTAAAATTATAAAATTATAGCAGTCAACAAGACAATAAATCATATTGAAATATATAATGACACAAATTCATACAAATTTACCTTCAAAGGAAATATTGTGAAGAGATTCACTGATCTCGTCCATGATTCCGTCGTGAATAAAGCAAAATAATCAAGAAAATCGAACAATGGCTTTGAAAGTTCAGAAATCGACAGAAATTTCAGAAATCGGCACGTTTTCTGCGAGGCGCTTCCGCGTCCCGTAGTGAGCAACGCACCTCGATTCCCGCGCGTGCGTCACGCAACCAGTAAGCACATCAAAGCGCCAGGGACGAGGCTGCGCAGTACATACTATAAATTGTTGACAAATCACTCGCACTACATTTGTCCTTGTATTTGTAATGCCTAATGGTGCAATTATGATAAAAATACCATTGTTTGATTCAGCATAAGAAATTGTACTCACGGATGTCAAATGTATTACTAAACAGCAGTATTCTAGCGATTTATGGCCTTTGCAAATCAAGCTAAATTGTATTGTTGGGCAATTTCACGTTGTGGACATTACATTCACAGAAAAACAATAAATACAAAACATGCTCTGTTTCCTGTTTGCAACAGTTTCTGATCTGGGAACTTTGTCAAAGAAAACCTTAAGGGGACCTCTTAAGATTTCATAAAATAAAACAAAATTCCCTCGTAATCACTTCTTGTAATAAAAAGTCAAAGTACTGTTGCGGACATTACAGCAATATCAACCACACATTGTAGTGATGTTTTTAAAATGTAATTTCCTGGTGGTTCCGATAATTTATTATTTATTTTAAGAATTCAAAACAATTAAATGGAAGCCATTTGTATTTTATTTGTATTAAGAAAAAAACAATTTGTTACTCCTTCAGCAGCCGTTGTCGTCGTCATTTCAATGGCGTCAGCGAGTCAATATGATTTTCGTCGTCATAGTAATATGGCGCAAACACGTCCAAATTTTTTTCATATTGACTCTTTGACGTCATTTTGCTTAATATGAATGTGAAAAATCCATATTTGGTTAGCCATTGAGTTGATATGACAATTTCACAGTTGGCTGTTAGCCAATCAGAAACCAGAAATTTTTTAAATAAATAATAATACAGTATATAATCTTCTGTTGACAACAATATCTTTCAAAAGTGCAATATTTGTTGTGCATTGACTCATGCAGGCAATACTCAGGTTGTGCCATGTTTGTAGACCATTCTATTTGCTTTTGAGTTTTGCATTTACTACATTTGGTGGGAATAATTACACCCCTGACTTTAGTGGAAGATGATCGA